GTCTCAAAAATAAGTAAATAAAATCTCAAGAGCTCAGAAATAGTACAATGTCGTAACATAATGAACATTTCGAGTTTTTATTATAAATTTTTGATGATGGCAGTGCTTAATAATTCATTTGGAAAATTCCTGAAATTTTGACAACTGATTCTTGCCACCCACTGCTGGAAAAAACGGTAAGTCACTTGCCCGCTGTTGGACTTCAGATGTCATCCTCCCAGTGGTGGGGCCACTTTGCCTAGGTCGGCGCCTGCGGGAAGCCGGTCCCCGGGTCGGTCGCTGTGCAGTCAGAAGCGAATAGATGCCGTGCGTGTTTATGGCTCCGTGCTGGAGCAGCGACGTGGTCAGCATGCCCTCGAGCCCCTGTTTGGGGGACCCAGACTGCTTTAAAGGGAAGGTGACGCTTAGGCCGCCATCAGCAACTGCTGCTGACATCACAGAGACAACCTGACATCGTGCGCCTCCTGGTGGCATGGTTACGTCAAAAGACAAAACTCAAACGATCTGAATTGGATTTAGATTAATACCACTTCAGAGAAAATCAAAGCCAGGCGTGGTGACATACGCCTGTGATGCCAGCAATCAGGAGGATCGCCTGTGAGTTCAAGGCCAGCCTGGGCTACATAGTGAGTTCAAGGCCAGCCTGAATTACAGTGAGACCCTGTCTTAAAAAAAAAAAAAAGAAAAAGAAAAAGAAAAAGAAAATCAGAAACCAGGGCATGTCAAACTACCGTCAGGGAGGGACTGAATCAAAAAAATTCAGATGTGGGAAACACTACAGGCAAATTATTCATTCCCAAAGTAGCGAAGAACGTACAAAAAAGATTAGCAGTGTGAATATTGTTAAACTTATACAGGATTTTTCACAGATAGAAAAGAAAATGATAGAAACCAGTGGAAAGAATAACATTCTGGAAATTCAGTTGGAAAAGAGTACCTGTTTATTAAAAATAATGCAAACAAAGGAAGTCTCAATTAAAAAAGAATGTGCTCCTCTTCATGATATGATAACAGGGCTACAACAGACCATTGAATATCAACACAATTTGAGAGGTGAAAATGAACAACTAAAAAGAAATGCTGATATGACAAGGGAAAAGCTGAACTCTCACAAACAGGACTATAAGAATAATATTGCCAAACTTGTACATGAAATGAAAATCAAAGAGGAAGAACATAAGATAGAAATAAGCAAACTTTATCAAGATATGCAGAAAAAAGTTGAATTAAATGAAGAAAAGCGCAAAGATCTAAAAAAGAAAAAGGAGATGGAAATCTTAGAGTTAAATGCAAAGTTAATAACTCAAGAAAAAGGAAAGCAAAATGAAATAATCAAACTACAGCTGGAGTTTGATGCCAAACTAGCAAGAGTTCAGACTAAATCAAAACCATATCCAGATGCTACTATTTCCCCACAGAGTATCTACAAAAGGAAGCTTCAGCATCTTGAAGAAGAAAAAAACAAAGAGATTGCAATTCTTCATAATACCATTCAAAATTTGGAGCAACGCCTTTCTATTGGCAAAGATTCTCACCTTAAACATAGACAATTTTGAGTATAACAGTAAATTCATTAATTACTATTTACTTTTTTTAAAAAGCAATTGAAAAATTCGCTTCCATTTTCAACATAAGTATACTGCCTAAATAGCCTAAATAATAAATGAGACAGCTTTAACCAACAACAACAATAACTAAATAAATAAATAAATTGGACTATATCAAGATAAAAAACTTTTGTGCTGCAAAGAATACTATCAAGTGGAGCCGGGTGTGGTGGCGCATAATTATAATGTCAGCACTCAGGAGGTTGAGGCAGGAGGATCACTGCAAGTTTGAGGCCAGCCTGGGGTACATAGTGAGTTCAAAGCAGCCTTAACTACATAGTGAGACCCTGTCTCAGAGGAAGGAAAAAAGGAATTTAAAAGAGGGATTATATGAAGATGTAGAGAATTAGCAAATTCATAGAGCTAGACAGCAGATTAGTGGTTGCTGAGGGCTGGGGAAGGGGGGTAACAGGTTTTCTTGCAGTGGGATGGACGTGTGTGGTGATGGTCACACAATGTGATGAATATACAGCAAGCACCAAGTTGTCGCTTAGAATGGATGAATTGTGCATGACAGGAATATTGTCTCGCTAAAGCTATTTTAAAAATTCTATGCGAAATGGAAGTCATCAGGCCCGTGGAAATAAGGTCAGCTAGGCGTTGGTTATTGTTGAAGCCGGGAGACGAGCATGTGGAGATTCGCAATGTTATCGTCTCTGCTTACGTTGATGTTTACCGTTTGCTGAAATAAAAAGTGAAATACAGAGCTAGGAGTGTGGCTCAGTGGTTGAGCCCTTGCAAGGTCCTGGATTCAACCCCCAGCACTGAAAAGAGGAAGAAGTGAAATCTGTTTCCTGGAATCCTCGCGGTGCCCCGGCCTCCTTGGTCCGTAGGCCCGGAAGAGGCCATGTGCCCACTAGCTGGGGCGGGGGTGTCTGACACAACCCACGCTGTTCCCTGCCCTTTCAGTGCTGTCCCCGCATGGGCACCTGGGCCAACACAGGGCTCTGCCAGGGCCGTGGCCTTCCCATCCCTCCTGCAGACCACTGACCTCTCAGCACTCCTTCCCCCAGCCAGCAGAGAACCTGTGTCCTTGTCACCACCCTGTCACAGGGTGCACTCGCAGCAGAGGAGCTGGGATCCCAGGGCCCAGCCCTTCCCTAGGCCCTCAGCCCTCTCTGTCCCCCCCGCAGCCCCTCTTGAAGGCAGAGCCTCACATGTCACCAAGGCCCCTGGCTCCCTCTCTACCGCACTCAGCTCCTCAGTCTGGCCTCTCTGCCCAACATCTTCCTCCCTTACTGTAACTTCCGAGCCCTGCTTCTTGCCAGCCTTCTCCCAGCAGTCTCAGCCCCAGGAAAGGTGGAAGTGTTCTGACTCCGATGAAGCCAAATGAATCCCTTCCTACAGGGCTTCTGAGCCTCCAGCAAATCCAGAGATGAACTTGACTGGCACCCAAATCAGGCCACCCATGAAGGAGACCCAGGAGGCTCTGGAATGCTCTCCACCAGGGAGAATGGCTCATCTAGCAAGGTGGCTCCTCCTCCATGGCTCACACGTGATGTCCCCACTTCAGGCGGCTTCCAGGGTGGCAGGGTGTTGCTGCAGCATGGAGATGGCCTGGGGAGATACCAGGAGGAACTGGCCCCGGGCTGGGACACTAGCTTTGGAGGCTTTGGCATTTCCACTTCCTCCAAGGTGGAAGGTGGAAGTGGAAATGTGAGGGCTTGGAGATTAGTTGGATATAAGGGTTGGGGAGACTGCCAGGTTGGGGAGCAGGAAAAAGGGGGTGTTCTTAGCTGAGATAAGCAATAAACAAGGACCAAGCGCAGGAGTGGCTGTTGAAATGGAGGTGCCTGTGAATGACTTGGTGTGGGACCTGGGGTCTACAGCAAGGCCAGTGAGGGATTCTGAGAAAATGAGGCCACGGCACGTAGGGCTCAAAAATTAGGGACCCACAGGGCACAGTGCCTGTTTACACCCGAGTCCGGGTTGTATCTGTTGTCCTGGCCTTGGGGAGCAGTGAGCACTGCCTGTCCTCTCTACAGTGTCCCACGGAGGATGCCACGCGGTCACCCTGTCAGCAGGGACTCTGGGGTGGCAGAGAAAGTGAGCCACCCTTTTCATGTACTTGCTTCCTTCACCGAGTCAGCCTCCTACCCGAGGCCCTCCATTCCCTCCGGAGACACCCACACGTTCACCTTTATTTATCGTTTTGTCCTTTCTGCCATGTTTCTCCTCACTTCCCTGGGAAAGAGCCTAGTGGGGACACCTTTGTCCCTCGGGTACCTGGATGTCCCTGGGCTGACTTAAGTGGGAAAAGCCCTCTCCTGTGATAGTGATGCCCGAGGCTGGGCTGGATGAGGGGCGGCCAGGCTTGGGGACAGGAGGCGCCTTCTGCTCAGTCTCCCCTCCTTCTCCGAGTGAAGTCAGTGTCTTCCCGCAAATGGCCCCAAATATCTCCTCCCGAGGAGCTGTGTCCATCCTGTCCGGTGCGCTTTCTCGTGGACTTCAGGCCAGGTGCCCGTCACCTCGGAAGGGAGGTTTTGGGTGCACCCGGGCGGAGGTCTCCCGACGACTAGAGCCACTGAACGGCCAAGGGCCACTCGGCGGCCACATTCTCCAAGCTGTGGCGCATCTGCCACGGGCTGCGCAGCGCCCGACCACCTGCAGAGGGCGCCGCAGACATTCCGAGGGCGGAGGGCGCCTCGAGAGAGCCGGGCTAGACCCTCGCAGCTTCCAGGACGGGCTTCCCAAGGGGAGCCCAGGGCTTGGGGTGAGGAGACGAGCAGGAGCCAAGTGGGGAGGGCGGGAAGAGAAAGAGAGAGAGTGGGAGAGAGGGATCCACCGGTTAGGAGCCCAGTCCTCAGTTTCCTTATTTGTAAAATGGACTCAAGCACAAGTGAAAATCGGGTGAGAAGGCGCCAGGAGCTTGGAAAGTGCTCCGCAGGGGCGTCAGGGTGATGGTAGGCAGGAGCGTCCCCTGACCAGGAGCCCTGGGTTCAAGTCCCGACTGCCACCTGCCCTCGCCGAGCCTCAGTTTGCCCATCAGCGAAGTGGGGCTAAGGAGGCTGCGTCTCCCGGCTCTGCCAGCTGGGCACCCAGAGACAGCGGATCTCAGCCCGACAGGACGGGGCCCCGGGACTCTGGCTCCGGCAGGTAGAGAGGGCCAGACGCGGCCTGGGGGGGGAAGAGGAAGCCTGAGTCCCACTCGACCGTGAAGATGCCGTTTGGGTCTTCGTTTTCTGTCCAGGTTACCCGCCCCGGGTCCACCTCCGCCGGTGCTGTCACCTGGGCGCGCGCTGAGCTCGGCGGGCAGCGGGGGCGGGGGTGGGGGGAGGGCCGGGGCGGGGCCCTGGAGCGGCGGGGCGGGGCCGGCCGGGGGAGGGGGAGGCAGCCCACGTGACGCCCGCCGCCTGGTCGGCTGCCGGGCGGGGAGCGCTGCGCGGCCCCAGGAGGCGGCGGCGGGCACGGAGCCCTGGCCGCGCGGGACTGGCCGTCGGGGCCCCGGGACGGCGGCCCCGGGGCGCCCATGCCATGGAGAAGCTGGCGGCAGGGCTGGCCGGCCTGCGCTGGAGCTTGGGCGCCTTCCCGCTCGACCTCATCGTCAGCCGCTGCCGCCTGCCCACGCTCGCCTGCCTCGGGCCAGGTACGGGGCGGCTGCGCGGGGAACCGGGGCTCCGCAGGCCGAGGCCGAGGCCGGCGCCGGCGGGGCGGGAGGGGGACCGGCCCCTGCGCCCCGCCGCCGGTTCCTCCCGGGACCCGCGGGCCCCCGAGCGCAAGGTCCTCGCCCGCGGCCCCGCGGCCCGGCACGGGGCGGAGCTGGGTTCGGCGCCGAACAGGTTCGTGGCTCCGGGAGCCCGGGCGCCTCTGGCCGCGCCCGCCCGCCCCGTCGGTGGTCCCTTTGTTTCCCGCCTCTCACCTCCATCCTCCCCGTCCCTTGGGATCAGACCCCGTCTTTCCCCCGCCGCCCCCACTGGTCCCGCCCGCCCCGTTTTGGGCTCTTCCTGCGCCCTCCCTCGGCGGCGGGGAGTCGGGCGGCGGGGACCTTCGCGAGGGGACTCCCGTCCCCCACCCCTCGCCCCGCTCCTCCATGGGGACCGGGGGCCCCAGCTCTGCGGACGGGACCGTGCTTGGGGACCGGAAAGGGGACGCCGGGAGGCTGCTCGGAGCGAGGGGACCGTTTGGGGGAGGGGGCGGCTGGGCTGGGGGAGGGGAGGGAGCCGGGGCTGGCAGCCAGGCCGGGGGTTTTGTGTGTGAGAAGAATAGGGGTTTGGCCCGCGTTGGCACACTCGCTTCCCTGAATGCTAATGGGGCTCCTGGCGCTCCTCTCCCGGGGACGGCAGCCCTCCTCCGACCCGCCCAGCGAGGAGTGGGCGCAGGGAGCAACCCTGGGGCCTCCAGACCCGGCCTAGGGCCGGGGTGCCTGGCGGTCCAGCTGTTACCGGTGGGGTCGTCACGGGACGGCTCAGGTGTGATCCTGACGCCGTCCTTGTAGCACTAGGCTGTGTGTGTCGGTGTGTGAATGGGGTATGCACCCGAGGTTTTCCTGGCTACCTGGGGGTCTTTTCTGAGCTTCTCTGTCGTCCCTTGCTGTGCACCCTTTACAGGGGCCAGCTTCTTGTTTCCTCCTGCGCCGCCGCAGGCTCCTTGAGGGAGGGCGTCACGAAGTCCTGGTGTGCCAGCCCGGCTGTTGTGGCAGCGTGTGGCTGTCTGTGGCTGTGGTCCCCGTGCAGTGTGGATGTGTGGTCAGAATGCTGCGTGTCTGAAGGTCCGTGTGCCTGTGCGTTTGGGAGGCCCCTGGTGGGACCACGAGAATCACTTGTATACAGTTTGGGCGACAAGCACCTGTTCCTGAGGGGTTGTATGGCTGAACAGCCCGTGGCTGTCGGTCCCTGTGGAAGCATGGGTGGGGGCCCGGCCTAGGCAAGCTCTAGAAAGAGGTTGCAGAGTGAAGAGCTTCCTGTGCCCCAGGAGGAGAGGAGCTGAGGATGCCGACTCAGACAACACCACACACACACACACACACACACACACACGCACACACCGCACACACGCACAGTGGGAGCCAAGCCCATCCTGCAAGGCTTGAGGCCCTTCGCACCCTCCCCACTCCAGTGTGCACACTTTATGAAGCCCCAGGCATCCGTCGAAGCTGCCTCCCCTTTGGTTGGCTGGCAGAAATCTAGTCGGTTGTGCAGCATCTGAAGGGGATGGGACGAGGTGTTCCCCACCCCCATCCTGCCCACCAGCTGCAGCCAGGAGAGCCCAGTGCTGGAAGCTGGGCTGCCCCTCCTGCTCCCCTGGAAACCGTTGCTGGGGTTGGAGCCTCCTAGGCCCAGACCCCTCCCAACTCAGAATACCTCTGCTCCAGTGCTGCTTTCCCTGGACTGGGCTCCCCGCTTTCCATTTAAATCTCGGGGTATTGGCTCCTCTCCTGTCCTTTGAGAACCTCTGAACACAGGAGACTGCTTGTGGCATGGGGGGGAAAGGAAAGCAGGAGCCAGCAGTCAACCCCAGTAAGCCCTGTCATTGTCCTGAGCTGAGCCTCCATGGCTCTGGGGGGCTCTCACAGCAGGGACCCATGAGGGACAGTCCCTTCCCAGCCCTCTGTGCTGCCCAGCAAGGCTCTTCTTGCCTGTCCTGGGGCCTCACTTGGAGGCCGAGGATCCTGCTGGTGTGAATCCACTTGGTCCCAAGTCTGGTGGTTTCCCTCACCCCACCCTCAGCATAAGCCTGCTGCCCCCGTCTGTGAGTCCCAGGCTGCACTCTGCAGTGTCTCACACTTGCTTTTTCCATGTCCCCAAGGGTCTGGGGGCACCTGGAGGTCAGAGGCCAGCTGGGCTGATCCGCTGGGAGCCCCCAGCCCCAGCTCAGCCAGGGGACAGGACAGTGTGTGATCTCATGATGAATGAGGACCGTGGCTGGGCTGGTTGTCGAGGCCCTGTGTACAGTTAGAGCCCTGGGAGGCTCAAGCCTGACTCACAGCCGGAAGACTGCAGCTGGCAGCCAGCCTGTCCCTTGGGTAACACTGACCTGGAGAGGGATGATGTGGAGATGTCCCCAGGCAGGGTCTTGGTGAGGAGATGGCCTGTTTTTTTCTGCCCCTTCTAACCTTCCCTCTTCCTTTCCCCCCTCCTCTGTCCCCTTTTCCTCCCAGGGGAGTATGCTGAGGGCGTTAGTGAGCGAGATATCCTGCTTATCCATTCCTGCCGCCAGTGGACAACGGTGACAGCCCACACGCTGGAGGAGGGCCACTATGTCATCGGGCCCAAAATCGACATCCCCCTGCAGTACCCAGGTATGTGCAGCCACGGACAGGTGGCATGCGGCCTGTGAGGGCGGAGCGGAGCGTAGAGAGGGAGGCTTAGCGGGAGCTGCTGGTGGACCCCTTCCGTGGCTGGTGGGGGTGGGGTGGGGTGGTTAGGGTTAGGGTTAGGGCCCGGTACTTTTCTTTGGCCCCTGGGTTTCTGGGAGGTGGCTCTCAGGTTTACAGGCCTTTGATTCACATTTTATTTTAAAACAGATTTTCAAGTAATGATGAAAATGACTCTCACCCTCACATCGCTACGGATCAAATCTTACCCCTAGTTGAAAACCTCCAGTGTGTACCCTTTTTTTTTGTGCAGACCCCAAAGAGAACATCTCCTGCCAGGTTCTTCTCGGTACTATGTGGTCAAACTTCAGAAAAGAAAAAGGGCTGGGGATGTTGGATGTTTCAGGGGTGAAGCACTTGCCTAGCATGTGGCAGGCCCTGAGTTCCATCCCCAACAGCCCCTTCCCCCCAGAAAAAGGAAAAACTTCCCATACCAAGGGGATCTCAGGCTGATTTGTGGCTGCTCCTTTCACCTCTGGTTCTTTCTCTCCCTGTTTTGGTGGTGTTAAGCACAGTTTTCATTGATGGGGTTTATAAGTAAATGTGAATGTTTTAGATTACTAAAGATTATTCTAATGAGATTTTGGTGTTGTGTATATGATATTGATATAAAAGGTTTTGTTTCAAGAATATATCCTGCATATATATATGACAGCCTGGGCGGGCGTTTTGCAGATGATGAAACCTAAGGCGTAAGGAGGGCAGCAACCTGGCCAGGGGCACACAGGGAGTAAGGGCAGGACAAGGGCCCGATCCGGGGGTCCCAGCTGCTGGGCTAGGGATTCAGGGCTGACATCCCTTGCAGGGGAGGAATAGGAATCTGGTGGCTTGGGCCACAGCTACTGGCTTCCAGACACTGGGCTGGCCATTGTCTTCTCCTGCTCACAGCTGCCCTGTTCCTTTATCTCGGGAGGAAGCTGCTGCTTCAGGAGGCTCGGAAGTAAGCTGAGTTGTGTGTTTGAGTTTTTGAGATGGGATCCCATTATGCCCAGTCTGGCCTAGAACTTGTGATCCTTCTGCCTCAGCCTCCCAGAGTGTCAGTATTACAGGTGTGTGTCATCATGCCCGGCACTTCTGAGGTGCTCAGCTCCCTGCTATGTGACACTCCCACCCCTGCCCAGCGATGCGTCCCTCACAGATGCACTGCCCCTTTGCGTTGGACCTCCCCCCGACTCGACTCAGCAGGACACAAGCTTTCCTCGGGCTTTGGCTCCTTCAAGCCCCTCCAAGCCCCCCGCTAGCCTGGGGTCTTTCTTTGGGGATCTGCTCAGGCTAGAAATGTCTCAGCCTGGCATCTGGCCTGGGCTCAGGGGCAGATTCCAGGTCTTCTTGGGATTTAAAAAAAAAGCAAAACTTGGGAAAAATCTTCACTGAAAAAGAAATGTGACTTTGGTTGTGTCATTTGGTTGTGTCTGGGGAAGCAAGGCACGAAGTCTTGGAGAGAGCTGTGAGCCCAGTGCCTGTTCTCCACATCTTCAGGTGGAACTGTGTGCCTGTCCACCAGGGGCCAGCGGTGACAGCTGGCCTTCGGAGCGTGGTCTCGCTGTGGCCAGCATGGGGGAAGGGAGGGCAGCAGCCGCTGGTCTCCGGGAGGCCTGGAGTGCAGGTTCCAGCCCAGCGGTCTGATGAATTAATAATGCCCCGGCCTGGCCCAGAGAGGAAGCAGGGTGGGGCTGGGGGCCCTGCCGGGTAACTCAAGTCACCGGGCTGTGGCCTGCCTCTGCAGGAGCCAGGGAGACCTGGCCCATCTGGGACAGTCCCCGACAGTGCTGTAGAAGGGCAGGGGCCAGGCGTCTTCCCTAGGTGGAGGCCAGTTCCAGAGCATTGTTCCTGTGCCCAGCAGAGGACTTGGCAGTGTGCTTGCATTTTACAGGTGGAAAACTGCACCTCAGAAGAGATCATTTGCCCGAGATATCAGCAGGCTGGTGGCACAGCTGGAATTCACTCAGGTCTACCTGACTCTAAAGTCCGCACTGGCTGAGTGTATGGGCGCACACCTCTAAGCCCGGCACTCTAGGAGGCCGAGGCAAGAGGATCACAAATAAGAGTCCAATCTGGCCAGTTAGTGATCTACTGAGACCCTGAGTCCAAAACAGTAGGGGGTGTTGCAGGGGAGGTTGCTCAGTGTGAAGGCTCTGGGTTCCTTCCCCAGTATCAACAAAATAAAATAAAGCCTGTGCTTTTTTGGAGGGGTGTTCTGGTCAGGATGGGGAAGAAGGCAGGGCAGAGCACTGCAGGGTGGCACAGTCGCTAGTGATTTCGGGCCCTGCGGCTGACAAGGAGGAGGGCAGGGAGGAAGCTGCAGGGGGAGGAGAAGGCTTCCAGCGGCCCAGAGCACGGCTCCCTGGAGGTCTCCCTTCCTTCCTCCCCTGTAATGACCGGCACTGGGCAGCCAAGGGCGGTGCTGGGTGCTATGGTTACATCGATCTCCCCTGCCACATCCTCAGGCTCCGCGGAGTTGGCTCACGTCTCCCCGCAGGCCCGCAGGGGGCAGCGGCGTTTCTCCCTGTATGTGTATGGCCCTCTTGGTTTGGGGGGCTGTGTGTGGATACAGGGAACGGGGCTGCGAACCGTTTAGGTGCACACAGACCTCCTGCTTTCCACCTCCCCTCATTTTGTCCCTGCAAAACTTGGGGAAAGCCCTTCAGGGCTGTGGGACAGGAGCCTTTTGCATCCAGGGAGAGGATCCTCCACCCTGTGGATACTTCCCGCCTGCCCTGGCCCTCTGCTCTTCACATCTGCCCCCAGGCAGCTTAGTCTGGGCCTCTGGCTGGGCTGTGGGGGCTCCAGGAACACCCCTCTGCACTGTGTACAAAATGGCTGTGTGTGTGTGTGTGTGTGCACGCGCGCGCACTGAGAGCAGAGTGGGGTTTCCGAGTGCCCCAAGGGTCAGACCCCTCAGCTCTTCCTTGTTCTGGTACTGCTCTGAGCAGAGGTCCCCAGCTCTGGGCCCACACTGGTGGCACTGCCCTCGGGTCCCCCCTGGTCCTCCCAGGGTCTGTCCTGTCCTAGCCCTGCCACCCCCTTCTGGGCAGGGAGCCAAATCATCCCCTCACCCCCTCCCTGTGCCACCTGTTGCCTGCAGCCCCCCTCCAGTCTGAGGAGCCTCCCACCAAATATCTTGTGGTTTTTGGTTTTTTGCTGTTCCCTGACTTTTCTCTGGAACTTAGTACTGGACTGTGTACTTGACTGCTCTCCCTGGTATCTTAATAGAATTCAGCCCGGGCCATGGTATTTCCTTGCTCAAAACTCTCCAATGGGTCTTGTTTATAGAATGAAGCATGGCTGGTGTAGTGCAGCACTCAGGGCCTACCCAAGCCTGGTTGCTGCCTACCCCCGTCCTCCCTCCAGGAATGCATGGCTTGGGCCGCGGATTGGCTTGTATGTGTCACTGCCCATTCTGTAAATTCCCTTTCCTTTTTTTTTTTTTTTAATGGTACCGGGGATCGAACTCAGGATGTTGGGCTTGCAAGGCAGGCGCGGTGCCACTGTGAGCTACACTCCTGGCCTGGCCCTCCCTTTCCTTCTTCCGGTGCAGCTCAGGGGTGCCCCTCATGGAGTGCTGGGCAGATGCCTCCTGGCCCTGTAGTCCTCCAGTTCTTTTGCCTGAGGCTTAGCACCTGGCACATCCTGCCACCTTTGGGTACTCACGCTGGGTCTCTCCCACAGTGTCTGCATTTCCCGGGGCGTGCAGTTTTATAGAGTTGTGCCCTCTGACATATAGCCAGTGGGTACGGCCTAAATTTGGGGGGAGCAAATAGTGAACTGAGACTGAAGCAAGAACCAAGGGACTGCAGGAGCAGAAGGGCCAACTTGTTCGTGCTCCATCTGTGGTTCCCTCACTTGTCCAGGGCTCTTCCTACCGTAGACAACCTGGGAAGAGGCCGTCCACCCTGTGCCAGGCTGGCTCACGGGCTGTCTGTGCTCATGTGGGTGGGCACAGAAAGGGCATCTGCTGAGTCAGCCAGCACAGCCTGTGCTGCAGGTTAGGAGGGCACCTCCCAGGCCGTTGGGAATGTCAGACCCAGGTCGGTGGTACAGTGGGATCGAGTGCTGGACCAGGGCAGGATCTGGGGACGGAGCTGGGGTCAGAGTGGTCTCCAAGGCCTGGGGCTGGGTCCTGGTTTGCCCAGTGTATCAGTGCAGATCAGCAACCCAGGATGCGTGTGCAGGAGGCCGGAGCCAGGCGGGGCCGGGTCATCTGTTTCAGCATCCTCGGAGGAAGACCCAGTGGCCCAGAGAAGGGAGGGGCTTGTCCAGGTCACAGCGAGTTAGAGGGCAGGGACCAAGCCAGGCGCCGTTGGTTGTCCGAGTGCTGGGGGCTGTTCTGCAGCCAGGTCCCTCGGAGGCAGCTGTGGCCGCGTCGCCCACCCACAGGCTTCCTGCTGGGCTCTGGTGAGCCACATGGCCAGCCCCCAGCTCACCCGCCCCCCACAATGCGCACTGCCCCTGAGCGCACCGACTGGCTGAGCTGAGAGCAATGCAGCCAGGCCTCCAGCAGGCAGGCCTGACCCAGCAGCCCATGTCTCCTGCGCAGGGAAATTCAAGCTCCTGGAGCAGGCCCGGGATGTGCGGGAGCCTGTGAGGTACTTCAGCAGCGTGGAGGAGGTGGCCAGTGTCTTCCCTGACCGCATCTTTGTGATGGAAGCCATCACCTTCAGCGTCAAGGTCAGTCTTTGTGGCACCGGGTGCGGTGCAGTGTCCCCACGGCCCCTCTCTCAGGGGCTACCCCGAGCCTGGCTGGAGGGCTCCCTTCAGGGTCCGGGAGGGAGGGAGAGCTTCAGGGACAAGCGCCCCAGTCAGGAGAACGGGAGGGTGAGGAGGCCCTGACTTGGATCCGACCTTTCAGGCTGGCCCGGCGCCCCCGTGCGGGTATGGGCTGGCTGTGGTGAGCCCGTGCTGCGCAGATAGCTTTCCGCTTACAAACCCTTCTCTCAGCGGTCTTGTCAGTTCTCTTCACAGCAGTCTTCATGGATGGGCAGACCATTACCGCCACCCAGTCGGTAAAGTCGGTGTAATAAAACCGCCACTTATCAAATGCTCCCAGAGTCTCTCCCTATACTCACGGTCTGTTCCCACCGCAACTCTTGTTAAGAGTTGTCCCAGAAGGTAACTGAGGGGCTCGCAGGCGGCCCGGAAGTTTATTCAGCGCCCCCGTGGCCTCCCCAGGCCTGGACCCGAGTCCCCTGGCCCTACCGCAGTCCGGTGGGTGCTCCTGATCCGGGCTGGCCCCGCAGGGCGGGCGTGCGGGCGTGCGGCTTTCCTCAGGACCCTGGCCGAGGGAGGTCTCGCTGTGTCTGGGATCCCCAGGTGGTGTCGGGCGAGTTCAGCGAGGACAGCGAGGTGTACAACTTCACGCTGCACGCGGGTGACGAGCTCACGCTCATGGGCCAGGCGGAGATCCTGTGTGCCAAGACCACCAAGGAGCGCTCGCGCTTCACCACACTGCTGCGCAAGCTGGGCCGCGCCGGGGCGCTGGCCGGGGTGGGCGGCGGCCTGGGGGGCGCAGGGACGGCGGGCGGCGGCAGGCCTGTCAAAGGCAAGATGCCCTGCCTCATCTGCATGAACCACCGCACCAACGAGAGCCTGAGCCTGCCCTTCCAGTGCCAGGGCCGCTTCAGCACGCGCAGCCCGCTGGAGCTGCAGATGCAGGAAGGCGAGCACACGGTGCGCGCCATCATCGAGCGCGTGCGGCTGCCGGTGAACGTGCTGGTGCCCAGCCGGCCGCCGCGCAACCCTTACGACCTGCACCCGGTGCGGGAGGGCCACTGCTACAAGCTGGTCAGCATCATCTCCAAGACCGTGGTGCTGGGGCTGGCGCTGCGCCGCGAGGGCCCAGCGCCGCTGCACTTCCTGCTGCTCACCGACGCGCCGCGCTTCGCGCTGCCTCAGGGCCTGCTGGCCGGGGACCCGCGCGTCGAGCGCCTGGTGCGCGACAGCGCCTCCTACTGCCGCGAGCGCTTCGACCCGGACGAGTACTCCACGGCCGTGCGCGAGGCACCCGCAGAGCTCGCCGACGACTGCGCCAGCCCGCGCCGCGCGCGCCTCTGCCTGCCCGCGCCGCGCGCCCCTGGGCCCGTGCGCGCTCCCGTTCCGGCCCCGCCCGCGCCCCCGGGAGACGGCGACCAGGAGTACGTGAACCCTGACTGGGCCGGCGCGCCCGAGCCTGTCCCCGCCGCGCAGCCCGCCGAGATCCCCTACGAGGAGCTCTGGGCGCACCAGGCGCCCGAGGCCCTCGCCCGGCTCCCAGGCCCCGACCTCATCTCCTTCGGGGCCGTCCCGCCGCCGCCGCGTCGCGAGCCCGAGGCGCCGCCTCCTCCCGTCCCCCCCAAGTCCGAGGCGGTGAGTGAGCGCCCCGAGCGCCAGCGATGCCCTGGGTGGGCCGCCCCCCCAGCTTTTCAGGGGGCCCGAAAAGCCCTAGTCCTTGGGTGAGAGGGTGGGGGAGAAGAGGGGAAGGGGAGGTTTGTAGGAAGACATACCAGGGGCGCTGGCGTGGAGAGTTGTGGGGACGAAGATGCCGGCAGGTCCCCAGCCTCGGAGTTTGGGGTGAGCCTAAAACAGTGACCCAGAAGGACCCACCGAAGGGCGTCCTTGGCATTGCCTAGGGCAGAGGTTCCGTGGTAAAGAAAGCGTGGGAAATGTGCGTGACTCCCAGCTGCCGAGGGCGGCGCAGTAAAGGCCGGGGGAAGCCCTGCTTCAGGGAGGCGGTTTCTCTAACGCAGCCCCTCAGGCTCAGGGTGCGTAGATCGTTCTGCTCGTAACACCCGTGAGCATCGCGCGGAGACCTTTTTGGGGTACTTGACTGTAAGGGATCCGGGGGACAGGTCGTTTTCCTCCCCTTTGTCCCAGTTGTCTTTTTGCTCTCCTTTTCTTCAAGGAAGGAATCTGTCTGTTTATCTGGTTTTTCATCTGCTTCCATTCCTGAATTTCCAGGGGAACAGGAGACAGTGTGAGCAGTGTGGGTGGGTGAAGCAGGCTGGAGGCGGTGGGCAGTGGGCTGCAGGGCCGGGCAGATTCTTGGTAAAAGGAGGCAGTGTCCGGCCCAGACGCTCCTCGGCCGGCTGCGGGTGTGGGTAAGGAAGGCCCTGCCCGGCGCCCTCTGCCCGCAGGTGAAGGAGGAGTGCCGCCTGCTCAACGCGCCGCCTGTGCCGCCCCGGGGGGCCAGTGGCCGGCTGGCGGGCAGCCCCCCTGTGCCGCCCCGCTTCCCCAAGCTGCAGCCTGTCCACTCGCCCAGCTCCAGCCTCTCCTACTACTCCTCTGGCCTCCAGGATGGGTGAGTCCCACCCTCTTGGTCCTCAGGTGCACTGGGGCAGGGGCCGGGGACCTGGGCTGGGGGGCTCCGAGGGTGCAGGGCCCCTGTGCCCTGGGCTGTAGCCTAGGAAGAGCCTGAGGCCTGCACCTGCTCCTCAGCATTTCCTCCCTAAGCGATGCGGACAGGGTGGGAGCCTGCTGCCCAGTCCCTCGGAGTGGCCTCTGCTACCGTGTTTACTTAAGTCAGTTTGCTCGTTCGCAGCTGTGATTCTGACCTGGGGTGGGTGACGCTGGAAGGAGGACCAGGGCAGTCTTGGAAGCTCTGAGGCCTTGGGGCTCAGAGAGTGGTGGCCTCGCTGGCTGGGCAGTCGTGGCGCGCTGCCTTGCTCGTGTGACCCTGTGGAAGCTCCCTGTTGCTCTGCCTCACCCATCCTGTGTGTCGTGTGTGTCTGTCAACAGGGCAGGTTCCCGCAGTGGCAGTGGCTCCCCATCCCCGGATGCCTACTCCCTCTATTGCTACCCTTGTACCTGGGGAGACTGCAAGGTGGGCGAGTCTTCCGGCTGCCTACCCCCAGGACCCCCGGCCTCGACAACCACGCAGCCCAGCCAGGCCTCGAGGGCCCTCACAGAGCCCCTGGGCAGTCGCACCACTTCCCTCTTGGGCGCTGACACCTTGCTCAAGACCTGCCATGGCTGCCCTCCTCTGTTCAAGCCCTCTCATCCCCAGAAACGCTTTGCCCCGCTGGGAGCTCTCAACCCTTTCTCGGGGCCTGCCTACCCCACGGGCCCTCCTGCAGCCTCCTCTGGGCCCACAACCACCTCGGGCTCCCTGGCTACCTCCAGCCCTGGGCATTCCCCTGGACCGGCCTCGCCAGGCCGGGGCTATTCCACTGTTCCGTCTGCCTCCCTGGCGTCCTCTGAGTGGCAGGAACCGGCCCTGGAGCCCTTGGACCCCTTCGAGCTGGGCCAGGGAAGCTCTCCGGAGCCCGGGCTGCTGTGCTGCCAGGAGCCCAGAGCTGGGGGGGCACCCGGGCCTGGACCCCGCCTTTCGCCACTTGGTCCCTCCAAGGCTTTCGAGCCTGAAGGTTTGGTGCTGAGGCAGGTGCCCACCCCACTGTCACCAGCTGCTCTGCAGGGGCCTGAGGTGGGAGGAGCCCACCTCTTTCTCAGCCAAGGGCGCTTGGAGGGGCCTCTTGCAAGTCCCAAGGACGCCCCCTCCTGGCAGCCCCCCGCGGACCTGTCGGCGCTCTCCCTGGAGGAAGTCTCCCGCAGCCTGCGATTCATCGGGCTCTCGGAGGACGTGGTGAGCTTCTTTGCCCGAGAGCGCATTGATGGGAGCATCTTTGTGCAGCTCAGCGAGGACATCTTGGCAGACGACTTCCACCTCACCAAGCTGCAGGTCAAGAAGATCATGCAGTTCATCAAGGGCTGGCGACCCAAGATCTGAGCTGAGGCATGGGGCTGCACTGCTTCAGTGCTGGCGAGGTCTGAGGAAGGCACTCCCGGAGGCCCGGGTCCTGCCTGCCCAAGAATCTGCCATGACCCAGTCACTCAGTAGCCACTCAGTGATCCGGGGAGACACACTGGACCCTGCAGGGGACATCCTTACTTTGTGCAGAGTATGTGGGGAGGGGTGGAGGCACTACTGTGCACCTGGCCTGGTGAGGCATTTGCTGGGATTCCCCAGGTGTGTGTGTGCGTGTGTGTGTGTGTGTGTGTGTGTGTGTGTGTGTGTGTGAGAGAGAGAGAGAGAGAGAGAGAGGGAGAGAGGGAGAGAGGGAGAGAGAGAGGAGGTGGCCTTCACAGTGACAGATCACCTTCCTTGGCCCTGCTGCAGCCTTTCACAGATGCCTCGAAGTTCTCAACCCTGTAGGTTCGGGTTAGAGACATGGGAAGAAAATGCGGTCCATAATTGAAGCACAGATTCCCAAGTGCCCACTCTCCTTTGTGCTCCATGGGCTTTGCCCTACAGCTGCCCCAGTCAGGGGTGCGACTTCTTGTTTCTGGGTGCCTTTGCTTCCCTCTGCTCTCCTCGGTGCAGGTGCCTGGCCCTGAGCACGGGAGACTCCAGTACAGGCCTGTGCTCAGCACCTCCACGGCCGTACTCTGGACCCAGCTTTGCTGCTGACCTCTCTTAGGGAGGCAGATGCTCCCTGGCCACCTCTAGTGCCCCAGCTCCTGGCTGGCTGTCCTGTCGGTGTGACTCAGACTCCACAGGAGAGCAGCTGGATTTAGGACAGTTACTCCTCAGCCCCAGAAACAAGTAGGGGCTGATCACACCATTCCCATCGTCTCTTTCCCCCAGCATTGCCTCTGATGAGCACTGCATCCTCCTCTGGTTTTCTGTCACTGGCTTAGGGTACAGTGGGCTTGGGGGACACCGCCTTTCCTGGAGCTCAGTGCTGTGCTATTGACATGCTTCAGAGATCTTTGTGCCTTTCAACTTTTCCTTTTTATAGTGATACTGGGGATTGAACCCAGGGGTTCATGCCCACTAGACAAATGCTCTGCCACTGAACTACATCTCTGCCTGGCTCTTTTTAGATTTTTTGAGACAGTCTTGCTAAATTGTCCAGGCTGCTTCAAACTTACGATCTTCCTGAGCTGGGACTACAGATGTGTGCCACTGTGCCTGGCAAGTGCCCTTCAATCTTGAGCTTTTGACCTGCTTGGCATCCAGAGCTCTGATCTTTGTGTACACCCCCAGCCCACCAACCAGAGCCATGCCACTTCTCATGCCCACTGGTCTCAGGGCCCAGAGGGGCAGCCCTCTCCTCTGCCTTACAGAGTCTGCCTAGATATTTATTTCCGGTTTTCTTAGAAGTAGCTAAGCCGTGCTGGCGCCCTGCCCTTATCAGGCTGCCCCAGCTCTGGGGGAAGGAAGTCAGAGTAGAGCACAGAAACTGTGATGCTGAGATACTTGGTTTTCTCACAGATGGTTTATTGAATCCTCAAGGACTGGTGAGGTGAAATAAACGCTAGACCACCGAAGAGAGTGCAAGTGGAATTCTAGGTGTTTGCTTTCTTCTTTTGGAAACCCGTGAGGAGCAGCGGAGTGTCCATGCCTCAGCGTGGGAGTGGGCTTTGGGATGGTTTGCGTGTGTGTGGCACAACCTGGTGTCCCCCAAGGCTGTCCCACCCTCTTCTATAAGCCCCCTGAGGGCCCACCACTCCCACTAGTGTTCTGGCATAATTCACACCTACCCGGTGTTGCTGAATGGCAAGACCCAGATGGCACAGGTCAGGCATCAGCGAGCACCGTGTACCTGCCTGCCTTGCAGAGTGCACCCAGATTCTGTTTACCTCTCTGTCTCAGACCCCCACCCCATAGGACCCTGTTGGTGGTCTTGGTGCAGGAAGTGACTTTTCTGCTCTCCCCTGGCTGTCTTGCAAACCCCAATTCAGGATTCCATGTGAGGGTCCGGTTTAGCAGCACTAGAGCTACACTCCCTGCCTGTCCGTCCCTATGCCAGAGCTGGGACCAGGGAAATGCCGTAAGTGGGGTGCAGGCAGCAGTCACTGGGAGCATGAGTTTGAATGCACAGTGTGGTGGACTTGAATTAAGATTCCACACACATCCAGTGACTCTGCATCCTTCTGCCAAGCAGGGCGTGGGGCCAGGCCGGACTGGCACCCCTTGTGCTGTCCTCACTGTGCCCCTCACCACTGCATGCACCCCGTGCCTTCTGTGCTCCGGAACACCAGGGAAACGACACCTCCTCTGCTTCACTCTAACATGCACAAGGCACTCCAAGAAAATAAATGGGTACAAGCATCACTGAGGAAAGCCGAGTGGGGCAAAAGTACCTGTGGCATCCAGGCACACTACACCTCAGAGATTTCGCTGGTCCCATGTGCCGCTGTGAGCGGCCGAGAGCATTTAGGCCTCAGGTGCAAGTGGCCGTGGGTACCCAAGGCCCTGCTTTCTGGCCTGAGTCCCTCTTCACTGCTGCCCACGACTCTCCCAACATACTGCTGCACGTAAGGCACAGGGCTTTATTCCAGTTCACTTCCTGAAGGAGCTTAAACCAGAAGGGCAAGGGCAGGAGATGGACCAAGCGAGCAGAGGCTGAGAGTTTGTTTTTATTGTCACCCTGCGTTTGGCTGGATGCCGAAACGCCCTCGCCACCACTGGCCCCAGCAGGAACAGAGGGCTTCAGAGAGCTCTTAGCTGCTGCTCTCAGCCTCAGGGCTTACAAAGGAGCACATGGGGCACCTTCTGACAGGAAGTGCAAACCTCAATTCAGTCAGATTCAGGAGGGTGCCGGGCAGAGGTGAAGGCACTTTAATCAAGGAGCAAGCCGAGGCCAGACTCAGTCTCCTGCTTCCGGATACGTCACACAGTGCCAGGAACCAACCAGTGCTGCGGGCGGCTGGGTTTGCACTGACGTCCACTCACTGGTAGAACTTCTTGCCAGGGCTGTTGGCATGGTCGAGGAGCAGCTGGCACGGGGTGAACTGTTTCCCGTAGACGGCCTCGTACTTCCGGAGCCGGTCCACTATCTTCTGGGCACTGTACAGATCCACAAAGCGGAAGGGCCCTGAGTGGAAAAACAGGACTTTGTTAAAGGAGATGGGAGTAACAGCCAGGCCAAGAGAGCCGACTCCTCTGCCTGCAGACGCACCTCCGAGACACGGGGGGAAGCCGAGCCCAAAGACCGCTCCAATGTCTCCCTCCTCAGGTGTGGCCAAGATGCCTTCCTGCAGGCACAGGACTGCCTCGTTCACAAATCTGGTCACCACGCGGTACTGGATGTCTTCGTCAGAGGAGCTGCAGTCAGGAAGGGCAGTTTAGCCAGAGGACGAACAGGGAGGCAGGATGGGTGTAGGGTGAAGTGCGGGTGGACGGCGGGAGCTGGTCCACCAGTCGGGACCACACCACCATGCAGAGGACTCAGCCCAGGAGGCCCAGCCTTGCCCTGACTGCCAGGAGACTGAGCATCTGCAACAGGGCCTCTCACAGCAGGGATCATTGGTGGGGTTTTCTGGTACCAGGGATCGAACTTGGGACCTTGTGCTTACAAGGCAGGCGGTGGAACCTCTGAGCTAAATCCCCGGCCCCGTCGGTGTTTTTTGACACCAGCAATGGTCAGGTGCTCAAAATAACAATAAAGAGCCGGGGCGATAGGGGGGCCTGGGGTAAGCTGCTGGCTGCTCTCTGGGACCCTTCCGGATGGCTGGAGCAGCAGGGCCTTCCCCAGGCTTGGCCTCCAGTCACCTCGATGCCTACCAGGGTGAGGACAGAAGCAAGGGCTGTGCCAGCTTCAGGGTGACCAGGAAGAGAAGGGACAAGGGTGAGGGAGCTTTGGGCTTCCAGAGAAACATCCGACTGACTCACGCCTCAGGCTTGGCTGGCAGCTTCAGACTCGCGAAGATACTATCCATGTCAGAGTTCAGATTCTTATCCTTTGAACCCTCCTGGTAGATGTAAAAGCCCTTCCCAGACTTTCGACCTGAAGAAGAGGAGACCGTGTTACTACTGCCCCTCATTCCTGGCCAAGAATCTTCATCTCTGGGGCCTGCTGTGAGGCTCTCGCCTCTTCTCTGCACTCCTGAGCTTGGCTGTCTTGGCCAAACCTAGCAATTCAGTCGTCACCAGAAGACTTGGCAGAAGCTGGGTGTGGTGGCGCACTCCTGCAATCCCAGCCCTCTGGGAGGCTGAGGCAGGAAGACTGTAAATTTAGCTTAGCCTAGGCAGCTTAGCAAGACACTGTCTCAACCCCCCCCCCCCCCCCGCCCCGCTCTGCTTTCTGGAGCTTGGAAATCTGCATCTGGAAGGAAAGGCCGCTCAAGTGAGTTAGTGAGTTTAAATATCCAGATACGTAACACCAGGCCTGAGGCGGCCCACGCCAAGTGGTGACTTCGCTGCTGCTTCCACAGATGTCGAAGAGGGTCTGGCCAGGGTGTGTTTGTCCATTTGGCGTAACTTAGGCCCAGTAGTGATAGAGGCCCAGAACTTCGCCTTTTGTCCGTAATCCACAGGCCTAATCTAAGAGGAGTTTCTCACAAAATCATCTTTGAAACACCCTACAATCGGTTCTGTGTTCAGGAAATCTTCCACCTGGGCCTCTGCAGCTCTCTGGGTGCAGGAAACTGCCCAGAACTTTGTAACTGATGGTGCTGGTCAGGTTTCCCTGAGGCTACTCACCCAGGAAGCCCTTGGCCACCATCTGTTTCAGCAGTTCCACGTTTCCACCTCCAAACCGCTCCCCAAAGGCTTTGCCTAGATCTTCTGCCACGTGCTGCGCTACATCCACACCAACCTCATCTGCCAGAGTGGCAGCACCCACAGGAAAGCCAAAGCCTGTGGTCAGGGAATCCAGCTTCTTAGGGCCAACTCCTTCCTGGACAGAGAGCGAAGCAGGGGCCTCAGGCAAGGCCATCTCAGATTCCCTTACCCAAAGCTCCCCATCCTAGCCCTAGTCACAGCCCTGTGCAAAATCTGCTTCTGTTCCCGGTGCTATCTGGCCAGGCCTGGGATGGGCGCTGTTTCATTTAGCGAAGCACCAGTGGAAATTCGACAACACTTTAAGGAAGTTTAGGGATGAACAAATTACCCACTTCCTTCACGTGTCCAACTCTGAATCTCAGCACTAAGGAGATGCCATGGCTGAGAGGGCCAACAGCACCAGGGCTGAGGGAGATGTCAGTGCTGCTGAGGAGCAGCTGCAGGCTGTGAGCTCTGTGTCTGGTTTAAGAGCCCAGCTTCGAGGATCCCTCTCCTTTCCCGAAGGAATGACCTGGCCAGCCGTGGGGGGGCTGTGTGCATCCGACCAAGCAGCTCTGTCCTGGGAGGCCCCTCCCCAGAGGGAAGGCAGAAGCTGTGGGCACCAGTGTGCGGAGGGCTCTGGGGAACCAGGAGCTTGCCTTGGGCTCAAGGCACCCACTCCTGTGCGGAGGAGCAGCACATTTGGAGGAGGCCTGACCCTCATGGGGCACCCGCAGTTTGGAGGACTGGGGAGAGGTCTTGAGCACTCCTGGCACTGCACACCTGTAGGATCCGTATGACTTCAGACATCATGGGCGCAAGGCACCTGGTGGTGTAGAAGCCGGGTCCATCCTGCCAAGAAAGAGAAGGTGAGCGCTCGGCTCTGTCTGGGTAAGGACGACCTGAGTCTGAAATCAGCCCCCTTTCCCATACCTCACTTTAATTATCACTGTTATATTTTGGTGATAGTGGGGCCTTTGCACTGAGCTACAACTTCAGCTTTTTTTTTTTTTGAGACAGGCTTTCACTACATTGCCCAGCCTGGGTGCAAACTTGTGATCCTTCTGCCTCAGCCTCCCAGAGTGCTGGGATCAGAGCTCATCACTTCAGATTTGAGGTGATTTAAAATCTCAATCAGAGCTGGGTGTTGTGGTGTATTCTAGCACTCGTGAGGCTGAGGCAGGAGGATCACCGTGAGTTTGAGGCCAGCCTGGGCTACATTTTGAGTTCAAGCCCAGCTTGCAATGTATAGCAAGCCCGTCTCAAAAAACAAAAACTCCAAACAAACAAATAACAAAATTAAAATCCCCATCCGAATCTTCAGTACTAAACGGCAGTGGAAGCAATGTCGAGCAGGCTGGCGGAGCAGTCTCCTGGCAGCCTTTAGGCTCTGGCATGGCTAGCAGAGCCAGAGTTCCCAGGGGCCGATCTCAGTGGCACAGGGCCGGGGCCTCGTCCCTTGTGGAGACCACCAACAGACGCGTGGGACGTTTGCCCAGAACAGGAATCAGTAGGCCTGCCGGGCGCCTTTCTGGCCTTCCTTCTGGGGCTGCGTCACTGTCGCCCAGCTCTTACCTTGACCACAATGATGACCTTGCCCTGCTTGAGCCCAAGTGCCACGGCGGAAGCAGTGGTGTCCCGGGTCGTCGTCTCGGTCGTGATGATCTCCAGCAGCTGCATCTTGTCCACAGGGGAGAAGTAGTGCATGCCAATCACCTGGCGAAGGAGCCCAAAGCCAACAGACTTAGGAATGCTGAGGAGGAAACCACACAGCTTCCTTTTGCTAGGAAAACACTGGG